GGTGGTTGCTGTTGTATCTTTGCCAGCTATTATGAAGTTTAATATTATATCACGCAAATACTTTGGATCTGTATCGGTTATTTGCAGAAACCTTGACAAAATGTCTTCTCTCTTCCACTGCAACTGGTAAAACATTAGTATTATATATAAGCACCTATCTGCAATCTGCATTAGTTAAAGTAGTAGCTATAAGGCGATTCACTTACAGATAAATCAGCTTCCGGTTTACTCATCTCCTCAGTTTTTCTCTGGATCATCTTATGAATAAACACATCGACAGTTCTTATATTTTCCTTTAATTTGGATTCTAATCCGATATTGAGAGATCTTTTAATCTTCCATAAGATATCAACATATCTCCGAACTGTCAATGCACTTGCATCATCAAATGCATCGCTAAATTTTTTGCCTTCTTCATTTGAACCGCACATGCTGTCTAGCTCAACTCCAAAGGCAACTCTGAATATAGAATCTAGAGATGCTTTCATGAATAGATCCTACATCGATAACACTAGGATTACGCATCTGGTTACAAGAATAAACAAGGCACCATTCTGTGAAGTCGACTTGATTCATGGACTTACTTGAATGTCTACTATCTTGTTGGATTTGACAGCTTCAGTCAATATATGGGCAAACTTTGCTGCATTTTTTCTGAATACCACACTGCTAAAATCCCTCAAGACCCTTGTGGAGAAGTCATGGCTTGACAACTTCCTCTGCTCCCGCCACTTATCACCATCAACTGTGAAAATTCCATCCCCTAACAAGTCCTTTAGGATGTAGTAATTATACCCTCCCTGCAGAAAATTTGGAAACTCAAGTTTGGCAATCCGAAAATCGTTACACCATTTTGTTACATCTATTGAGACATCCATATAGCTAGCCGGTTGCAACTTATGTAGGAGTTGAGGCATCGTAATTTACTGATATACCTTGACCTTGCAACGAGAGTATTGCCCATATACATATAAGTAGATCACCAGTTCATTCCGTAACCAAAGTGGACTCTAAAAACATTCTAACAACAAATGTAAATATTACTAAATAACAGGCCTTTTTAGAATCAATCAAATAACAACATATAATTTGGGGATGTCAAGATCAAAATGGTGTACCTTGCCATAGTTTTCAAAGTTTGTTTTAAGAATGTATTCGACGTTAGCAGGGTCAGAAGTAAAAATCCTATTCTTGAAAGGGCTAATCAATCTGTAAGTCTTGTACTTGC